CATACTATTCAATTGATCAACATATGCTTCTTCAAAAAAAAAACAATTATTATTCTACTGATGAATAATTTAAGAATTCACTAGGTTCAAATATTTAAATAGCAAAAATAAATTTTTTTTCTGAAAGCCATTTCTTGCATGAAATTTCTTTGGTCTGTTTACTTAAACGAAAAATAATATTCATAGAGATACAGCAACTAAAAACAACAGCTATTTACATCATTTAACAGTTTTGCACTTTAATTAAATAGTGATCAGCAAGTTTTGAATTGTAACAATTTTGTTTCAAAAAGACTAAATTTAAAATAGCTAGTTAAGCAAGCTACGACAATGCGGTAAAAACGACCTATTTTAAATAGCAGCATGTCTATTTAAAAGGTATCACTTTTGTGGAGGTATACTCATTGCTTATGGCTGATATACGAGCATCTTAATTGACCTTTTGAACCAAGAAAAAATATTCTTCTTACCAATAACCACGGTGTCTCTTATTTTAAAAGCAAATTTGAAAGAAAGATCTCTTTTTTCTTACCTGTGTATTCACCTTGCTTGATGATAAACCGATAGAAGAGAATTGATCTTGATTTAAATTAAAAAAAAAAAATCGTTTTTCTTTTGTATTATTATCGGTTTGAAATACAAAACCCTCACAATCCAAGTTCATTATTCAACACAAGCATAGTACGGGTGAAAAAAACTCGAAGAAAAGTAATATTTATTTGCTTGTCTGGGTGGACGGTCATATTGATCCAGCAAACACGAATTATCAAAATACGCTCACACAATTGTACAATGTTGTCAGCGACGTTAATCTCTGCAAGAGATCGAGTGTGGATGTAGGTTTCATTTTTACGAACACCCACCACTCCTCACTGTGGAAGATCGACAACGAAACTAAACTAAATGCATTTTGTGGTTGTAGCACTTCTGTGCAAGGAAATTGAATTTTAATAAAAAAATTCGGACAATGATTCTTGTTCTTTTGAATCACTCTGTTTAGTGATGACAATCAAAAGTATTATCAGAAACAACATAACTTTTTTATCCGATACTGAAAAAAAAGAAAGTAATCAGAGATAATCAGACAATCAGCTTTTATTCCTTTAATTTAATTCATGTGTCTTTTTAAAAAATGCTCGCTGTGAGCAGATTGATACCATACAAATGCAATCTTATTTATCGATGCTGAAATGCCGTCAGAAGTGTTACACCAACTTCAACAATTGTTCTCTATTTTTTTTTGTTCTTCGTGGACAACATAGCAGTAATACGCAAAAAGAAACTTTTTGATACATTGTAGAACGAAAAAAGAAATTCACTTTTGTTTACTCTATGGACAGACATGCACAGGTAAGGTGCATACACTTTTTCTTTCTCTTGTACACGCTATGCAACGGTAAGGACTTTTTTTAAGAGACAAAAATTCTCATTTCTTGCTGTTAAATCACAGTTAAGTTTGTCAAGGGCATTCTTAATTCGAACATGCTGTTAGACTGTGGCAACACTATATAAAGCCGAGCGCTGATCCATCTATTAACGAGTTAGAGACAAGCTCGTCTCATCATTTATTACTCATTTACAAACAGAAACATGTGTCTTCTGATACATTCACGCATTTCATCAGGTAGTTAACAATCGTTTGAAAATTATGATAGCAAGTATTTAAAATGTATTTTTCTCGAAGAAAATATGCTTAAACACTATGTTATTCGTTTGTTATGATTTAAATAAAAATAAGTTATAACTTGAAAAATTATATAATAGTTGGGGTTTGTTCGAGTCTGGAGGGATGCACAGCTTCCTCATTCTATCTCATTAGAAAAGTAGTTGTCTCGATTAAATTTCAATTTAAAACTTAGATAATAATTAAAATTTATGCAAGATATTCAATATAAGCAATGCAGATCTTATCGAAGTTTTCTTTCTGTGAACAAACTATAAAAATATTCTTTAAAGTATCATTAAAAAGAATCGAATGCAATATAAAGGAGAAACACTGCAATAGGTTATGATGTGACTAGAAAAATTGCTATGTATTTGTTGGTCAGCTAAAATCTATTACTTCGAAACTTACATTTACAGTTGGTCTACTGAAAGAAAACTTTGATAGCATTATTATACAGAAAGAAATCAGTTAATAAAAGTAAATCGATAGTACAAATTTTAAAAACAATACTCTTGAATCGGAACGTTTTGAACTAGCTGTATACTTCTTTCAAATAGCTGGAAGTTTAAAAAATTATGATAAATAATTCACACACTGCTTTTGTCTGCAAGGACCCTAAGCAGTATTTTTCATTAAATA